CTTTGGGATTGGAGTGAAAACTGATCTTTTCCAGTCCTGGAAAACTCCTGCGTTTTCCAAATATGCTGGCATATTGAGTGCGGCACTTTCACAGCATCATGTTTTAGAATCTGAAATAGCTCAGTGGGAATTCCATCACCTCCACTAGCTTGTTCTTAGTGATGCTTTCTAAGGCCCACTTGACTTCACACTCCAGGATGTCTGGCTCTAGGTGAGTGATCACTCCATCGTGGTTATCTGGGTCATTAAGATCTTTTTTGTATAGTTCTTCTGTGTATCTTTGCCACCTCTTAATATCTTCTGCTTCTGTTACATCCATACCATTCAGGTTCTCCTTAGTTATCTATTTTATATATAGTATCAATCGTATATATTTGTCAATCCCAATTCCCAATTCATCCTACCTCCCTCTTCCCCACTTGGCAGCCCTAAATTTGTTCTCTACTTCTGTGTCTCTGTTTCTGGGTTGCAAATGAGTTCATCTGTATCATTTTTCTAGATTCTACATATAAGCAATTCAGTCACCTTTAAATGAGAGCAAGATGCAAGGACAAAAGAGAAACATCTGAATGCAAAATCCTTTCAGATTTTTGTAAATTTCCCCCCAATTTTTTATAGTTGCATTTCCACACCAGATTTAACAGCAGTTTCTAACAACTCACTTCTATCAACTGTTTCTAAAGCATTTTAACAGTTTTCATGAAATAATTCTTCAAACTGATAGTTCACTGGCCTAGGAAATATCTAATTAAATTATATAATTACAACAACAGGCCAACAGCATTATAACAGGTCTTGTAAGGGGTCAAAAACAACTTACAACTCACTTGGGAGAGGTGTGTATATAAGTATGTCAGAAAGTAGTAGCCTACTAACCATGTTGACACATGTGGGATTAAAACCAGGATGTCTTGTGGATCGAATGGAAAGTATGAGTAATCCATGTAAATGAAGTAGAGATTGACGAGAAGAGTTTCTACTGTAATGACATATGGATCCTTCATATACTATCTCACTGTCACTAGAGTCTACTTTCTAAATTTTTCTTCAATATAGTTAATCGATGCTTCTGTAATTCTGCTCTTAAAAATAATACTCCTTTAAAGATATGGAGTTTGACTAGATCATTCATTTACTCACTCCTTCACCAAACTAAATGGAGCACCTATTGTACAGAAGGTGTTATATTAAAAAAACTGTAATGGATAAAGAAATAAGTGGAATAGAACTTCTTCCCTATTAAATTTACTTTGCCAAGCAAGAGCCCTGTTAGCACCTCAGAAAACTGACCTAGGTTTTTCCAGAACATAACACACATGCCCAATTCTAGTCTATCTTCCAGTTGAAAATATAACACTTTCTTTTGTTTTGTTTTAGGTTTAATTATATAAACTCATTCTTTCACATTAAACAGTTCACTATTTATGATGGCTGTCTTAATTTAAAGTATGTAACTTAGTTATGTTCTCCATCAAGTTGATGCATTTTAAAGAGTTTAGTCACAATATTCATGCTTTTCCCCATGAATTAAGAGTAAAACAATTTTACCATACTTAAGAAGTCTGGTAACTTTAACCTATGTAAATAGCCTATGTAAATAATGGATACATTTAATATTTACCTTTTTCTGTTTAAACTCTTAAAAAATATACATTATGCTAGTCAAATAGGTCAAATCCCATAAATGTCTCTTAAAAAAAAAAAAACTGCTGTAAAAACAGGTAAAAGTCAACAATAAAAAAATCATAAATTCATCTAATAAACTGTTATTTCTTCAGTAGGCTCCTAGCAGTCATCACTATTATTGCTTTCACTATGATTAATAACTGAGGAATTGTGTGTTCCTCCCACATTCTAAATAATTTTACTTTACTTCAGATTAGCTCCTCAGCACCTAGATTTCCCTAAATTTTCACCATCTCTTTAAATATGGTGATTTTGTTTTTTTAACACCCACAGCTGAGAAATTAGGTTTCTACTAGAAAAGCTAATGTCTTCCTTTACATAAAAGGGAGTTGAAACCACAATTCAATATTCTTTCTTTCTAATCTGGCATAGGAAATGACTATTATAGCAACAAGTGTAGGGGGAAAGAACTGTTGTACTAAAAAAGTTCAGAATAGGAAACTTGCAATAATACTCCCATTCACTCCAGAAATAAAAATATACAGAAAATACTGAATATATATGCAATATTTGACTTTTAAAGAAAGATATAAATTAGGGAGTTATTAACTGATTCCAAAATGACATGCTAGATAACTTTAAATATTCATTCCCCATGAACTTGAAAACAAAAAACTTGATCTATAAAGAGATAATATTTTAAAAAGTTTATAAAAATATTCCTATTGACGGAAACAAAGTTATGGACCTAGAAAATCCCTATGATTTAGTAGAAACCTTTCATTTTACAGATGAAGAAATTAAGCCCTGGAAAATAATCTCAAGGTCACCAACTCTGAAGGCACATCAGAATTTATACACAATTCTAATCAATCCAAAATTCATGTCTTCTCTACACTAGGATATGGGAGAAAGGAAAATGCATTTTTTTTCAAATAAGGAGGCAGAATGACAAGAAGTCAGAAAATCTTTCATCTATTAAAAAGTATAATGATGCCTGGGAATCCACAGATGCAGTGTTCTCTCTGCAACACAACTCAGAGTAAGGTCTCCAAAGTTTTCTGATGACACAGGAAAATGTAATCTCCAGTAAACAGTTCAATTAAAATGTTAGTTTTATAAAGTTTTTAAACAATATGAATAATAGTTAAAAGTCACCTATATTATTTTTTATTAGATTTTTGTGAATCTAATTTAGCAATAAACACTAGGAGAGAAGAAATGCTAATGTATTTTATTTTCCATTTTCCTACTATCATCCCCTCCTCGATCACTTTAGCAATAAATAGGCAAATCAGCTAAATAAGCTTCTGAGCTTATATATATTTTTCATAAAAAGGATACAAACATACTCTTCAACTTGAGAAACATATACTCCAATATGGAAAGGATGATTCAAAATATAACTTTTTATCTCATGATCCATTTAAATCTCACTGTCTTAATTTTAGTATACTTCTGTGCTGTGCTTAGTCACTCAGTTATATCCAGTTCTTTGTGATCCCAGGGATTGTGGCCTGCCAGGCTCCTCTGCCCATAGGGATTCTCCAGGCAAGAATACTGGAGTGGGTTGCCAAGCCCTCCTCCACGGTATCTTCCCAACCCAGGTATTGAACCTAGATCTCTGGCATTACAGGCAGATTCTTTACCATCTGAACCACCAGGGAAGCCCAAGAAATACTGTGGGTAGCCTATCCCTTCTCCTGGGGATCTTCCCGACCCAGGAATTGAACTGGGGTCTCCTGCATTGCAGGCAGGTTTTTCACCAGCTGAGCTACTAAGGAAGCCCAGTATTTCTCTATTGACTTTTAAAATATTTTTATAAAATATATAACCCAGAACTTAAATGATTTTTCCTAAAATTCTATAGATTTGAAAGTACTTTGCATCCAAACCTAATCTGTGGCATATAGCTTTTTTTTTTTAACTTGTATCTTTCAGTAACAGCTTATAATCTATTTCTCAGAAATTTAGAACTGCTGTGCCCCTATTCTAAGATTAATCAGATGTATAATAAGAACACCTTTCTAAAAAAATATAAAGTTATTGTTTACATATTTCTACCATTAGTTACAACCCAAAATTAACAGGCTAATTCTTTAGTACATCAAGTTAACAGAGCTATATAACAAGAGCCATAAGTATTGAAAACTGTTAAAACCGTCCACTGGGGAGAAGATTTTAACTCAATGAAAGCTAGCTTTTTGAGGCTGTAACCAATTTCAAGAAATATAAGTTTGTTTGTTTTCAAAACCTCAATGTTACTCCAAGTACAGTGTTCAAACCTATCACTACAGAAAAGTCAGAATTGTTAACACGTGTGAACCTTTAACACAATGACACCAGCTTGACATCCAGTCACCAGAACTCCTTCCACTGTATTTGGACATGATCTCCCTCCCCAGCTTCCCAGATCTTTATGTCTAAAATGGCCCAGGTACTGTTCGAAAAAGTATAAGATTCCTTTTACCACTAAAATATAAAACAAAATCACTCACAGAAAGGAAGAACATGCTGTTTTATAAAGCATGTTATAAAACGGTTACAAATATATTTTAGAACTATAATAATGATCATGACAATGATGTCAATGACAATGATAAAAGCTAATATTCATTGCAATTATTTAATCATCACAACCCTATAAATTGATTGCTGAGAAGTTAAGAAACTTACCATAATCACAGAGCTTATAAATGGAAGATCTAGGGCTTGCAATGTGTCTCTCAGACTTCAGAACCCACAGATAAGTTTCATTGCCTGTCTTCCCTAATCTCCATTCAATAAACATTCATTAAACAACTACTATCTTCCTGCAAGTCACCTGGGACTCCATCATAAAATGCAAACTAACTGAAAATGATTATTAAAGTACTACTTGAGAATCCCTCAACCCAAAGAGTTAAAGCATAATTTTATTTTCAAATATTTCTAAGATCATTCATAATTTCGTTCAATAAATGTTTAAAAGAGCATTTATGTTATGTGAAAAGCACCATGTCAGATGCTAAATAGATAAAAAGATGAACAAGACACAATCCTTCCCTCAAACTCCCAACAGAATACATAGAACATATACATAATTCAGCATTGATGAGTAATTTTACTTTTATGTTTTTAACAAAAATAGTGGATTGGCCAAAAAGTTCATCTGGGTTTTTCCATAACATCTTACAGAAAAACCTGAAGGAAATTTTTGGCTGACTCAATGTTCACAAATAATTCTGCTACTGGTTATTATTTCACTTAAAAAATTCTAAAAGCTACAAATCACTAATTTTTTATAAGGCAACATTTCTTCTACCACCAAAATGACCCTTAGTAATGTATATAGTTAAAAATATGAAAGGTGACAGACTTTATAATTAGCTTACATTTTCTATGACAAATGTCCACTCTTTATCTTCAAATTCCTCTGCATGAGGATCCTGTAACAAAAGCAAAATATAAAGTTGAAATACATTTTTTAATCCAGTCAACTCAATTAGGAAAATACAAACAGCCTTGATTTTAGCTTTTTACCAACTTTTTAAAAAGGGAGGGGCAGGATGGTTTTTAAAAGTTTTTAAAAAACTTTCATAATTTATCTAAATTTAAAACATTATTTTTATTAAGAAATTCTCTATCTTACTTAGGTTAATACATATCATTATTTTCCAACATTGCATAAAACAAGACAAAAGGAAACCATAAAAATATTTTATGACAGAGGCTATACATGGAATCTAAAAAAGTGGTACAAATGAAGCTATTTACAAAACAGAAATAGAGTCAAAGATGTAAAAAACAAACAAACATGTAAAAAACAAAGATATACCAAGGCGAAACAGAGGGGAGGGATAAACTGGAAGATTGAGATTGAAAAAGACACACTGCTATATATAAAACAGAGAACTAACAAGCACAGGTAGCTCTACGCAATACTCGGTAATGGTCTACATAGGAACAGAATCTAAAAGAGCGACTTCATGTATAGGTGTGACTGAGTCACTCTGATGTACAGCAGAAACTAACACAACATTGTAAATAATCTATACACCAATAAAAATTAATTTAAAAAAGAAACCCAGGGACAGATAACTTAGTGAGTCAACTATTAAGAAGCACTTTTTGTGCAGTGTTCAGTCACTCGGTCATGTCCGACTCTGTGACCCCATGGACTACAGCCCACCAGGCTTATTTATTAAGATACTGATATCCTTAAGCTGGAATGAAGGTTGCCGGGAGAAATACAATAACCTCAGATATGCAGACAACACCACTCTCTGGCAGAAAGTGAAGAGGTACTAAAAAGCCTCTTGATGAAAGTGAAACAGGAGAGTGAAAAAGTTCTTAAAGCTCAACATTCAGAAAACTAAGATTGTGGCATCCAGTCTCATCACTTCATGGGAAATAGATGGGGAAACAGTGTCAGACTTCATTTCTTTGGGCTCTAAAATCACTGCAAATGGTGATTGCAGCCATGAAATTAAAAGACCCTTACTCCTTGGAAGGAAAGTTATGACCAACCTGGACAGCATATTAAAAAGCAGAGACATTACTTTGCCAACAAATGTTCGTCTAGTCAAGGCTATGGTTTTTCCAGTGGTCATGTATGAATGTGAGAGTTGGACTGTGAAGAAAGCTGAGCGCCAAAGAATGGATGCTTTTGAACTGTGGTGTTGGAGAAGACTCTTGAGAGTCCCTTGGACTGCAAGGAGATCCAACCAGTCCATCCTAAAGGAGATCAGTCCTGGGTGTTCACTGGAAGGACTGATGCTGAAGCTGAAACTGCAATACTTGGCCACCTCATGCAAAGAGTTGACTCATTGGAAAAGACCCTGATGCTTGGAGGGATTGGGGGCAGGAGGAGAAGGGGACGACAGAGGATGAGATGGCTGGATGGCATCACCAACCCTATGGGCATGGGTTTGAGTAAACTCCGGGAGTTGGTGATGGACAGGGAGGCCTGGCGTGCTGCAGTCCATGGGGTCGCAAAGAGTCAAACATGACTGAGCGACTGAACTGAACTGAACTGAAGTATTTTCTTTTTTTTTTTTTTTTGCTTTTTTATTTTTTTTATTATTTTTTTCTTTTTTTTTATTTTTTATTTTTTTCATTTATTTTTATTAGTTGGAGGCTAATTACTTTACAACATTGTAGTGGTTTTTGTTATACATTGAAATGAATTAGCCATGGATTTACATGTATTCCCCATCCCAGTCCCCCCTCCCACCTCCCTCTCCACCCAATCCCTCTGGGTCTTCCCAGTGCACCAGGCCCGAGCACTTGTCTCATGCACCCAACCTGGGCTGGTGATCTGTTTCACCCTAGATAATATACGTGTTTCGATGCTGTTCTCTTGAAACATCCCACCCTCGCCTTCTCCCAGAGTCCACAAGTCTGTTCTATACATCTGCGTCTCTTTTTCTGTTTTGCACATAGGGTTATCGTTACCATCTTTCTAAATTCCATATATATGTGTTAGTATACTGTAATGGTCTTTATCTTTCTGGCTTACTTCGCTCTGTATAACGGGCTCCAGTTTCATCCATCTCATTAGAACTGATTCAAATGAATTCTTTTTAATGGCTGAGTAATATTCCATGGTGTATATGTACCACAGCTTCCTCATCCATTCGTCTGCTGATGGGCATCTAGGTTGCTTCCATGTCCTGGCTATTATAAACAGTGCTGCGATGAACATTGGGGTGCACGTGTCTCTTTCAGATCTGGTTTCCTCAGTGTGTATGCCCAGAAGTGGGATTGCTGGGTCATATGGCAGTTCTATTTCCAGCTTTTTAAGAAATCTCCAAAAGCTTTTAAGTTTCATTAGGTCCCATTTGTTTATTTTTGCTTTTATTTCTAAAATTCTGGGATGTGGGTCATAGAGGATCCTGCTGTGATTTATGTCGGAGAGTGTTTTGCCTATGTTCTCCTCTAGGAGTTTTATAGTTTCTGGTCTTACATTTAGATCTTTAATCCATTTTGAGTTTATTTTTGTGTATGGTGTTAGAAAGTGTTCTAGTTTCATTCTTTTACAGGTGGTTGACCAGTTTTCCCAGCACCACTTGTTAAAGAGGTTGTCTTTTTTCCATTGTATATCCTCGCCTCCTTTGTCAAAGATAAGGTGACCATAGGTTCGTGGATTTATCTCTGGGCTTTCTATTCTGTTCCATTGATCTATATTTCTGTCTTTGTGCCAGTACCATACTGTCTTGATGACTGTGGCTTTGTAGTATAGTCTGAAGTCAGGCAGATTGATTCCTCCAGTTCCATTCTTCTTTCTCAGGATTACTTTGGCTATTCGAGGTTTTTTGTATTTCCATACAAATTGTGAAATTATTCGTTCTAGTTCTGTGAAAAATACCGTTGGTAGTTTGATAGGGATTGCATTGAATCTGTAGATTGCTTTGGGTAGTATAGCCATTTTGACAATATTGATTCTTCCAATCCATGAACACGGTATATTTCTCCATCTGTTTGTGTCCTCTTTGATTTCTTTCATCAGTGTTTTATAGTTTTCTATATATAGGTCTTTTGTTTCTTTAGGTAGATATAAAACACTCTCCGACATAAATCACAGCAGGATCCTCTTATGACCCACATCCCAGAATTTTAGAAATAAAAGCAAAAATAAACAAATGGGACCTAATGAAACTTAAAAGCTTTTGGAGATTTCTTAAAAAGCTGGAAATAGAACTGCCATATGACCCAGCAATCCCACTTCTGGGCATACACACTGAGGAAACCAGATCTGAAAGAGACACGTGCACCCCAGTGTTCATCGCAGCACTGTTTATAATAGCCAGGACATGGAAGCAACCTAGATGCCCATCAGCAGACGAATGGATGAGGAAGCTGTGGTACATATACACCATGGAATATTACTCAGCCATTAAAAAGAATTCATTTGAATCAGTTCTAATGAGATGGATGAAACTGGAGCCCGTTATACAGAGCGAAGTAAGCCAGAAAGATAAAGACCATTACAGTATACTAACACATATATATGGAATTTAGAAAGATGGTAACGATAACCCTATGTGCAAAACAGAAAAAGAGACGCAGATGTATAGAACAGACTTGTGGACTCTGGGAGAAGGCGAGGGTGGGATGTTTCAAGAGAACAGCATCGAAACACGTATATTATCTAGGGTGAAACAGATCACCAGCCCAGGTTGGGTGCATGAGACAAGTGCTCGGGCCTGGTGCACTGGGAAGACCCAGAGGGATTGGGTGGAGAGGGAGGTGGGAGGGGGGACCGGGATGGGGAATACATGTAAATCCATGGCTAATTCATTTCAATGTATGACAAAAACCACTACAATGATGTAAAGTAATTAGCCTCCAACTAATAAAAATAAATGAAAAAAAAAAAAAAGAAATCTCCACACTGTTCTCCATAGTGGCTGTACTAATTTGCATTCCCACCAACAGTGTAAGAGGGTTCCCTTTTCTCCACACCCTCTCCAGCATTTATTGCTTGTAGACTTTTGGATAGCAGCCATCCTGACTGGTGTGTAATGGTACCTCATTGTGGTTTTGATTTGCATTTCTCTGATAATGAGTGATGTTGAGCATCTTTTCATGTGTTTGTTAGCCATCTGTATGTCTTCCTTGGAGAAATGTCTGTTCAGTTCTTTGGCCCATTTTTTGATTGGGTCATTTATTTTTCTGGAGTTGAGCTGGAGGAGTTGCTTGTATATTTTTGAGATTAATCCTTTGTCTGTTGCTTCGTTTGCTATTATTTTCTCCCAATCTGAGGGCTGTCTTTTCACCTTGCTTATAGTTTTCTTTGTTGTGCAAAAGCTTTTAAGTTTCATTAGGTCCCATTTGTTTATTTTTGCTTTTATTTCTAAAATTCTGGGATGTGGGTCATAAGAGGATCCTGCTGTGATTTATGTCAGAGAGTGTTTTATATCTACCTAAAGAAACAAAAGACCTATATATAGAAAACTATAAAACACTGATGAAAGAAATCAAAGAGGACACAAACAGATGGAGAAATATACCGTGTTCATGGATTGGAAGAATCAATATTGTCAAAATGGCTATACTACCCAAAGCAATCTACAGATTCAATGCAATCCCTATCAAACTACCAACGGTATTTTTCACAGAACTAGAACGAATAATTTCACAATTTGTATGGAAATACAAAAAACCTCGAATAGCCAAAGTAATCCTGAGAAAGAAGAATGGAACTGGAGGAATCAATCTGCCTGACTTCAGACTATACTACAAAGCCACAGTCATCAAGACAGTATGGTACTGGCACAAAGACAGAAATATAGATCAATGGAACAGAATAGAAAGCCCAGAGATAAATCCACGAACCTATGGTCACCTTATCTTTGACAAAGGAGGCGAGGATATACAATGGAAAAAAGACAACCTCTTTAACAAGTGGTGCTGGGAAAACTGGTCAACCACCTGTAAAAGAATG